AAAATACCTTCACTGCTAAGTTGTATTTTTGACCCCAATGCACCGAACTAACATCAATTAAAATTCATCAACAATTCATCAACGATTCTTCCCTTTTCACCATTTTTTCCTACGGCAACACATTCGCCTTTTTTGAACTGTCGTTAAAATTATTTTTCATTTCATCTGTATTAAGAATCCTGTCCCCTGCTTGCGACAAAACACTAAAGAACGATCTTTTAGTGCTCCTTACCCACAGTAACATCTCCTGATTTTCATTACATGTACAACTGATAAACTTCTCTTTGCTGATCTCACCTAACTGGGCTTTTTTTTAGAAAAGGTATTTTTTTAAAATTACGGTTTATACTGAACACAAAGACTCGATGCATGCTATTTTGGTTGTGTTGCATGGAGAAAATTCCATGCAAACTGTCGATTTAAAACTAAGTCAAAAGCAGCAGAAAACTAAATAATAAAGGTCGCTTCGTCGCCATCATGTTACTGTTGCAAAGGAACATTGATAAACGTTACTTTGCCACGAAGGGATGCTAATAAACGTCCTTTTGTCCAACCACCTCTATACAAAAATGCAAATGAATGAAGTGACGAAAATGTGTGGAACAAGTACCTTCAGATTAACGCTATTATAAAAAGCGTTAAACATTTCTTTCGTAATATGGAAATATCGTATCCTAAGAAGTTTGTGTATGGTAAATTTAATCCACAAATGTATATGTGATCCCTGTCACTCTGGTAAAATACAAACTTCTTTCAACTGGATATTTTGGCTCGGGGAATTTCTGTTAACTCAATCGGAGTCTGAAAAAATGCAACAGACGTCCCGGGTGAGATCCCTAACGAAGATATTTAAATATCAATTACCACGGTCACATACTTGCCACAATAAGCCACGAAAAAGACTATAGCGACTGTGGTTACCGGTTACATAGTTTATTATCTGTGTCTCCATATGATCTTACCTGTTCGCTTACCTGTAGTCACGTTTATGCGTGTGTACACACTCTGACATACCCTATACGCTTCGTTCCATATCAAATTATTTTTGAAATGACCCCTGTTTTTTACTTGCTCCTTGCTCCGTGCTAGGTCTACCCCAAAATGAGAAAGGTCTATCAGGACTTGAGGAAGGGGGAGCACCATCGATCTTGCTGCTATATTTCCATGCAAGATTTATCTTATTTATTTGAGCAACTAATGGTGAATGGGCTGGGGTGTGGTAGAAGGGGTGTGGTAGGGTGTGGTGTGGTAGGGGGGGGGGGGGGGGGGGGAGGGAGTGGGAGTGAGAGGGAGGAAGGGGGGATATCCTTGGTACTATATGCTCTGCCCTTGAATCCGCCGCTATAGTAATTATTACTTTCACAATACCTAAATCCATACGACCCGGTCTTTTCTTGTTCATTGAAATTTACATACTTTTCCCTTTTATGAATAAATAATAGACGAGAGACGTATAAATTCATACGACTCTGGAATACTTTGGCTGCAATTATACAAACAATGAAGACTTCATTCGATTTCGATTTCGCCCAAGTAAGAAAGTGTCCTTTGTGAAAGCAATCCTAAAGATTATAAATAAGGAGTTTTTCCATCACGTATAGAAAAATGTACGAGGAAAGGCAATTTCATGCCTTTTTGCATCTTTTGAAGAACTTCACGGTTCGTCTACATACAAAATGATGTCGTTACATTCTGTAAACGAAGAAACTAGCAATAGAAACTACATAAATGACGTCCTATATAGGGACCTGTACATCGCACCAAAAGGTCAACATTAAGTGGAAATTGTTCCTCTTTCAACGTAAAGAATGACAGTCGTATATATGTGTCGTTCTATTTGCTCACATTCTACTTCTGTGTACTGGAGAAATGTCACACTCCAGGGGCACGCGACTCCTATTAATATTGATCTTGTAAGACTTTCAGTCGCTTGGTACGCTAACGTACCCAGCGACTGAAAGTCTAACAAGTTCGATATTGATAGCAGTTGCGTGCCCCTGTGGTCATACTGAAGAGGTTAACCCTTTCACCCCTATGTATCTTTAGTAGACTCTACCATGCATTGATATATTTACAAATTCACAAGATAGATTAACATTTAGCAACAATAAGAAATAGAACGATCGTCATTTGAGCTCGTAGTGTTTCACATGACCTAGCCGGGGAGAGATATTTTGACTATATGGGACATACTTGTATTGATATTGTCACGAGTCAGTGCGTGTATACAACCGACAAACTCTGTATGATCGGATAACAATACACGTCAAATCTAACTATTATCACGTCACCATAGTGAGAACCAGGGCAGTGGCAACGAAAACACAAGACACACTAATGAGATTGATGAAGATTTTCGTATTGCTAAGGAATATTTCTCAAGAAAATAATGAGAAGAAGAGAATGACACCCTATTTATTTTCTTGAATTAACGGCTCAATAACCAGTACATACACAGACAAGGAAAGAACTTAACAGATGAAGTATACCCTTTTGCTTCTTGTCGATTTTGCAATGAGATGTAACAGATCAATATGTTTCCTATGTTCCAAAGACTACTGGACACTGCTCCATCCCTATCAAATTGTGGTATGCTTTATATTGTTTAAGTTGCAATTTTGAAGATCTGATGCTGTAGTTAGCTGTCCTATGTCTGCAGGATTCATTGACCACGTTCATTCTCGACACGGGGTGGCGACCGGCTACGGTGCCGAGTTCTCCCCCCTGATCTACCAAACCATCTACTATTTATACCTGATACTCTACTCAAACATTACTCTCTTACCAAGTAACTGAGTGGAAGTAGTAAAGGTCATCTGTTGCAGATGTATACTTACGTCTCAGGATGTAACTACAGACTTATATAGGTATAATTACATCGTCCCTTAACCCGACTATAAATCCTTATATACTGCGCCACATTCATGTTTACACCGGAGACTAAAGTGGTTGTATTTATTAATTCAACTCTATCACATTAACGGATCTCTGTCCAATTGAAGGTAAAATACTAAGGAATTCTACTTTAGTGTATTATACCAACAGTAATCTGACCTATGGATTGTGAGGTGCGGCTCCTCGTGAACCGATTATATGTCCTGGTGCCATGTTACTTTTAAAACTGACATTATCGTATACGTAAATAGGATTTCTCTGCTCTGCGTATTTACTTCTGCATGCATTGCTGTAAAACCACTGGCGTTGTTGGCCGTTCCCGTTGGTTGATAATCTGGGATAGGAAGTTCACCCAATGACTGTGATCTGCATGGCTTGTCATATTGCTGAGCGGGAATATTTGAATTACTATTTACCTTTCATGGTCCATGAGACAAAGGTCTGATTGCTTGTCGAGGCTGTTTCCCAATTAAAGCGTGAGTGGAATGATCATGAGGTGATGGTTCCGTTGCTAAAGCTGGAGAAGGGCAAGTCGGAAACGAATCAGACATGATATTAGCCCACCTCACATTTTGTGACCTAGACGTGTCTTCCATTGGAGACGACGACATGCGTCGCCGTTAAGGCATTCTGCTGTTTACAATGTAATAAAGTCAATTAGCGGAGCCTGCACAGCATCAATGCAAGAACCACGGTTAAGTCTAGATTATATCTGTTGTCTTTCTAGAAAACTCAGTTCTTCGTGTAATGCCTCAGTAGTACCACTGAACAACCTGCCGTAAACGTAATTATCTCGAACTAGTTTTATACTGCAACCGTTAGCTCTTCAATCTTTGGAGGAAGCTGTTCACTTATACCAAACTGGATACCGCGAAGGAGGTAGCCTCTTTCCAACACTGCTTGTCGATATGCGTGATAAATAAAGCGAGCAATTATTGGACATTTCCTACTAGGAATGCTTTTCTTGATACCGTTCACATTGCCAAATGCTATGGTAACATGTAATCCAAATTCGTTCCATATACATTCCTTCAGCTTGGCTTCAGTATTTTCATTGTATTGTTCCCGCAGACCAGTGAAAACTAAGTTCTTCTTCATGGAACGGCACAGGAGGTCTTTTACAACACTGAACAGTTCGTTAACTCCTTCCTGAGAGAATGCAACTGTCTGTCCTTATTTCTGCGATGTTCTTCCACTTCACTGTCCATTCGGTTAACCTTTAGCTCGCTGGCCTCTGCTCTTGTCTTTACATCCTGATAGAAGTTACTCCTATTCTGCGCTGATGTTTCTAGTTCTATCACTTTCTCCCAAATGGTCTTTATCTCACATTCCAAACCGGTAACTTTATACATGCTAGAGAAGTCACAGAGAACTCAAACTTGTCTATGTTTTTCTCTGTTATGTTTGCTCCTAAACCGGTTACCAATCGACTGCCCATCCTCTGAATCATTGCAATTACGACCTCTGATGTAGCTGTACCACGCAGGGCCCCTTGGGCCTCTCGAAAATCTTTCAATACTATACTTATGTCTTATGAAAGGTTCTTTTTACACAACCAATACAATTTTTTATATGACGGATAGATGACTAGTACGATATGTACACTGTCACCTTCATCAGACATTTCTTTTTCTGATGAAGGTGACAGTGTACAAATCGTACTAGTCAACGAAACGTCACATATGAGATTTTATTGGTTGTGTAAAAAGCAATTTTCATAAGACATACTTACCAACCCGAAGAAAATGTTTAGCTATACTAATGTCCATATGAGCTCTAGTAGACCGTGACGAATGTACAGGTTAACACACGGGTAGCACTGTTATGAAAAGGGCTATATATATAATGTATAGCACAAAGCGAATAGATATCATATATATTTCCTACAGCCAGAGTTGCCATGAATCTTAACGACAAAGTCACAAAAGGTAAAACCTCACGTCTTTCTATAGTTAACATCAAGGTCATATATAATTATATATGTCGTTCTATTTGTTGACACTACTAGGTACTTCTGACTGACGAGTTAAACGAACGCAAAAGCAATGTACCAGCAATTTTCTTATCTTTTAATTATATTTTCACAATAACAAAACCACGTTAATCATTTTGTCTTTAGTCACAATGCAGCATACATGTATCTATTGTTAACATTCTACTGGATAAACAACATTCATACTGAAGGTCATTTACTAGAACGAAATGTAAGCCGTCCTGCATTTAGATCGTCGACGGAGTTCGTAGTGCTACCACTTGACGTAACCGGGTAGATAATTGTATACATCGTCTAAGGTCGCGCCTTATAGTTTGTCTGTAATAGGCCACAGTTGCAATTATATTGTCAGTTTTCTGTGTGTGTTTCGAAGCAACATGGATTTCGGTTCGTCTCTCAGCTTTAACACGGTGACAGTGGCTATCGTTGTTGTATTGTTGATCCTGCTAGTCAGTCGGACACTACAATGGCCTGCCAATGTCCCGCCCGGTCCATCTGGCTATCCTATCATAGGAAGCATGCCTTTACTGCGAAAAGGAAACATCCTGGAGATATTTCGAAAACTTCGAGCACAATATGGCGACGTTTTTAGTATAAAGGTTGGACCCAATCTTGCTGTAGTCATCAATGGAGCCGATGCGTTGAAGGAAGCGTTCGTCAAGCGTGCGGATGAATTCTCTGACAGGCCAAGCAACTATTTATCCGAAACTCTTTTTCAAAATAAAGGTATGTAAATGTTAATTTGGATAACGTTGATAAAGTATTATAGTTTCAACAGGGGCGAAACTGGGTTACAAATAGTTTGTAGGCACTTGTTCAATTGGCTGTGAAAGCTAACCTCCCGGAGGAACGAAGTTCCACAGCGCGGAGAGGGAACGGAAGGTTGTTAGTCATGTTGTGAGTAAAGGTTGAGGAAAGCGGCTGAGGTACATGTAGTAGAGCTAGTAGTGTCATTAATTACAAGTACAGGAGGATATAAATACGATTGACGTGGTTGATAAATATAATAAAGACAGCACCTCGCCGATATATCTGAAGATGGGTCTATTATAAGTTGTAAAACTTGATTCCAAATTATATTTCAACAATTATGTATTGCTTAATATTATATTATACTGTAAATGAGATAATGAATGAAATTTAGTTAACATCAAAGATTCTTGTGAAGTTTCGGAATACCATTAATCGATATTATTAATGGGTATCAGAAAAGATTTCTTTTGTGCAGAGAAGCGCGTTAAGAAAATACGGAAAGTGTATAGGTATTGTTTCCTTGGTTATCAAGCATGGTTAGTTCTTTTTCCGCAGGCAGGCAGTGTTATAGGTTTTGCAGACAGAATTAAAATATTTGATGTTCTCTCTGCAGACAAAAATACACACGAACCAAGCAGATGGTTGGGTGCGGTTTGAACAGTGGGGTAAGGAAGCACATACTTTTTTGGCTGATGGTCGTGGTAGACTTGACCCATTCTGAAAGTCAATCCAATCAGCATGCTCTCGTTGTGGCCCTATGGTTTAGTATACATGTACGGCCTAATAGCTGCTATTTAAATTACCTAGTTAAAGACGGAATAAAATAACCTGACAAAAGAAAACGTTACTTTAGAAAATAAGTATTTACATGGTAGCATGTTTGGATAAATGAATGTCGTCCCATCGTGCAGAGAGAATAGTCACTTTTTCATAATTTGCTAGCCTACTTTCGACTGAATTCTATGAGTGCCAAATCAGGTTAGGGTGGGACATGGGAATCGAGGAATGACACCTTACTTTTAGTTACTTCGGAATACAAGAACGTTTCACGTCGAGGGGGATCCTCTGTTTTGGTCTCTGAACTTTTGATATTTCGAATTTTCTGGACCACAAAGTTGTTAATCGTTGTGGTATTAGCATTGTTCAATGTAAGCTTGACTGTTGCACTAATGTGTATTACAGGGTTATTTCCAATCCGGACAAAATCATCTTTTGTTTATCTTAATTTTATGTATTGGTCGGGTGGCGCAGTGAGAAGCGCACCTGCATCCGGGCAAACATTAGTGATTAATATAAGTTTTGTAATTGTTTATGTTTTTATAGGTATTGGTTTCGCCTCCGGTGATCACTGGAAACAAACACGGACTTTTTCTCTGTCGACACTTCGGAATTTTGGATTTGGGAAGAAATCTTTGGAATCAAGAGTCCAAGAAGAAATAGGAGCTTATTTGGATATCATTGAAGAACAAAACGGACAATCTTACAACATAAAAGAAATGACAACCATGGCCATATCAAATATCATATGCAGTATTACGTTCGGAAACCGATTTGAATACACTGACGCAAAATTCAAACGACTAACGTCACTTTTTGCTGAGAACTTAAGGTTAAATTCGGTTGGAGGGGCCATACGATCATTTCCAGCTGTACGATTTCTTCCTGGAGATATGTTCAATGTAAAGAAGTTCATTCAAAATTTCACTGATATCAAATGTTTTGCTCTTGAACAAATAGCCGAGCATCGAAAAACGTATGAAGAGGAGAATCAGCGAGATTTCATTGATGCGTTTCTGAGTCAACAAATCAAACATGACGAAGATGATCCGATATTTGATGGTAGGTAACAAGGATATATGGTTAGATTGTTGATGAAGAAAAGATTATTATCATTTTACGTGTGTGATTTTCATTTAAAAACATTTGACATAACTAAAATCATTGTTTGAAATATATTATTAATAACAACCGTATGTTCATATTAGATTCTTAGAAAGTATCAGAAATATATGTATTAAAAATGTAAAGATACATTATAGTTTTAATAACTATTGAAATTTCTTATTTTTTTTATGAAAGGTGATTTATTAAAGCCGTATTAAAACCTTATACACAACACCTTGTACCGTTCTTCAAATCATAGCAAAAAATTACCCTGCTTTTCCTTTCCCTATTTACACTTTTGCCTTTTTTCCGGAGACAAATGATTAATTTTTTGTCTTTTGTCTTTTCACTCGTGTAAGCATGATGTCAAATATATTCCAGTATTTCTTACGCCTGACATTATTTTCATATTTTGTATGTCTATAGATATGAACTTATCAACAGTCGTCATCAATCTGTTCCTTGCCGGGACTGAAACAACAGCTACCATGATCCGCTGGGCGATAATTTACCTCATTCACAACAAACCTATCCAAGATAAGCTCCGACAGGAGATTGAGACTGTGATCGGAACGTCAAGGCTTCCGTCACATTGCGACAAACCCTCCATGCCTTACTACGAAGCTTTTATAACAGAGGTTTTCCGAATGGGCAACATCGCTCCACTGTCTGTGCCTCACGGTGCCAAGAAGGATATCCAGTTCCGAGGCATGCTAATCCCAAAAGGGTCGGTCATTATGGCAAATCTTGACTCGGTTATGACTGATCCAGGCCTGTTTGAGAATCCGGATAGGTTTCAACCCGAGAGATTTCTAGGAAAGGACGGAAAAATGAACGGCAAAGAAAGGACTGTAATGGCTTTCTCTCTAGGTACTTATATATTTTTGTTTGTTTGCTTGCTTTATATTTATATATATATATTTATTTATTGTAAGTATACTTTTATTTATTGACGTAAAGACTAATTTGGATGTTTGGCCATTAGCATCACCGGTGAGTCGTAACAGGACGGAACAGCTGTATGATGACATATAGTTCGTCTTTGGCATATCATATCTATTACTAAAGGTGTAATCACCTGTATGTGCGTGTCTTACGTGTTCCTATCAAGATACGAGGTAGTAGACTGATAAGTCCCCGATTGTTCCTTTAACAGAGGTTGTGACAGCATATAATGATACTCATTATTAATTTGAAATGAACCAGAACTCCTCTATTTTTTTTAATTAATATGATTTAGAGATTTACGCACTTTCCCCCCTCTTTTAGAAATAGTTCAGACCAATTATGAATCCCACCATTTTGGCACTTCAAATCACCGTTGTTATTATTTTGTGAAAGCATAGCCGCTAATCTGAAAATAAAAATATCCAGTTAATACTTGTATATATAGATTAAGTAAAGACTTTATCTGATAATGTTATTTACAGGACGAAGAATCTGTCTTGGGGAATCCCTGGCGAGGTTAGAGCTATTTTTGTTCCTAACCTCATTGCTGCAGAGGTTCGAGTTTCTCCCAGAAAGCCCTGACAAACTCCCATCGTTGGACTCCACCTTGGGAGTGGCGCGGGCGTCCACGGACTACAAGTGCTGCGCTGTTAAGCTGAAATGAAACATTAAAACAAAACATATGTGAGAACCTTTACCAGTATATATATAAAAATGTGTTTTAATTCATTTAATCATTATACAATATCAACCATATAGAATCTCACTTCAAGTTTGTAATATTGCTATTGTATTAGTTTGCTTCAATGAACTCATTATTACATCTAAATATCGTTGGATTATAGATATAAACATATTTTTATTATCAGCATAATAACTGTATTTTATACTCAAGTGTCTTACTGATTGTTCCGAAAATATAGTTTTGCTGAATATTTTTTAAGCGCGAACAATTTGCTAGATGTTTTTATGTGAAATTCTTATTTTTGAAAAAGTATTTTATTCAACAATGAAACACACATAAAATTTCTGAGGGATGAAAAAAAAACAAGCTAATGCCTTTAAATTTCTCTTGATATTTCAATAGAACTTTGTCACGGTGTATTATTTTACACATGTTTTGTTCACTTTTATTTTTTACAATACAAAGCGTTTGGGAAGATTGTTTTAAAATACAGGATGCTTTATTTACTTTGCATATAACAATTTCCCAACAAATTATTGCTATAAAGTGTCCCTGTATTTGTCCTTCTTAACATACAAATCATGTTTGTGTCAAGTAGCTGTCAAATATATCCGATTCATCACTGACATCAGTAGAAAGTACGGACCATACCTATATCACACCATACAGAAGAAAAATTAACTAACTTCGAGGTATTCCACAGGTGGTCTGTTACGTTATGCAAACGAATACTGACGGTTAGGCAGTTTAGATAAGCACCCATCACGAGGGCCAATATACAGTTTGTCATTGTCTTATACTTTTTGACTGATGTTGTATGTATTATTTTTTTGTATGTAAAGTTTATTATCCATTGTTTGCAAGTTAATAAAATGCATAAAAACTCTGCAAGAGGAAAAAAAAGTTGTGTCACTTATTACTTTTAATTATTTATAGTGTTATGATTATACTCCATCCTTGTTTATCCAACCAAGCAAATAGTCAATGATCCTGATATCCCTTTTCCCCAACAGTACACAGTTGTTAAGGCATGGAAAGATGTGATAGCATGAGACTTACACTGAAAAGTACAAACATTTTAAGTAATTTGAACTACAAATCCATGAAATATTTACAACGAAGCCATTTAAAAAGTACAAGAAAAATAAGACCAGGTGTCTTCGGTTATTTAATAATACCTTGTTTTATCACATAATGTACTGTGTTATCCAGTGAATATACCCATTTCATATTTGTTTGCGTATTAGCCCATGTAATATGACATATCAACCATGTGATTGGTTGTAAGTTTCAAGTGTGACGTCACGCCTAGGACAAGTACATGACGTCACAGAATCACGCATTGGAGTCAAAATGGCGGCTTTTTACATTTCAAGGTTATATGAATAAATGACACAAATCCTGATTATGTGATGAAAAGGATCTTACACTCGTATTCATTTCATGTGAAATTTATAAAACTCGTCACGAATTTTTCATTTTAGCCTGCTTAATTGAAAAACTCTTACACTCGTTTCATAAATCTCATATTAAATGGAAACTCATGTAAGATCCTATATATAGAGTTACTCTGTTATTTAATGATGACAGTTTTATAGTTAATCTGTTATACAACGATAACAGTTTTATAGTTATTCTGTTAAAAAGTGATAAAAGTTGTATAGTTACAGGTTTTACAATGATAACTAACAGAGTTATAGTTGCTCTGTTATACAATGATAACAGTTTTATAGTTACTCTGTTATGTAATGATGACAGCGTTATAGTTGCTCTGTCATACAATGATAACAGTTTTATAGTTTCTCTGTTATACAATGATAACAAGTTTAAAGCTACAGATGTACTCTGTTTTTAAACTCGGGTAAAACTACGGTGGCAACCTCTATCGAAATCGCGACTGCCAACAAGAAGGAATGTAAGCGAAACCAAGTGAAAATCACTTGTCAGAACCAGACACCGATGCACTTCCTATTGGAGTGCAGTGTACTGCAGGATAGAAAAAAACCAATTTCATCTCAAAGACGAGACTCAAGGAGAAAAGCAATATGCGCAGTATTCCCAGGAAGACATGCTGCAACTACAAAACATTTTAAACATGGATTTCCCCTTTTTCTTTCAATTTTTAATACCACTGAGTCATGTATATCGATATATAGTATTTGTGATACTAATATGGTAAACACCGCCTTGGTAAAAAAAACAGGTCTAAATACATATATTACTTGTAAAAGCAAACACGGATTCATGGAAAATGCATGTGCCAAGGGCTAAAGTACTTCATCTGAACTTAATACTTTGCATGTGATAAAAAAGTTGCCATGTCATCAATATTATTCATCAGTTTGGAAATATGTATGTATCAAAATAATATAATATATAAATAAATGTACGCATCAAACGTGTTGCAACGTTTCAACGTGTCCCTTCGGCAAGCGTTATCCATAATCAAAGCTTGACAAAGAGACCAGTCGGTCTTGAAACGTCACGACACGTTTGATACATACATTGTTTGTGTAATCGTTTGATAAAAAGAAGCTGTCATGTATTTGATCATGATTTTATCAGATAGAAGAATCAGGTATGTTTTCCTCTCTATTCTACGCATAGACAACTTTTTCTTAATTCAGACTTTTCTGTATGGATACCACAGACCTGATATCAACATGCATACAAATTAAAGTATCCTGACGGTGGTCGAGAAATTCGTCATAGGTGCATGACGACTTAATACGATTACAACTAATTTCTTTTACTTTTCACAGATTAATATCATCTAGTTTGCTGACTGAATGAAGCCATCACAGATTTGTGTGTATAACCGGTTGGCTGATATAGAAAGTAACCAAAAGTAGCAATACAATACAATAGTATTCAAAACACTAGTTCCATGAACACATTGTGTCTTTCTACATTTTGTTTTGATTGGACAACTGAAAACTGCTTTTGAAAAGGACTTTAATGTGATAATCCTTGATGCGTGCAAAATCACCATTACGCTTTCTATCTTTGAAATAGTGAAATATTGCCGAATCTCATAAGGCTGTCATCTTTGAATAAAGCACAACATATGCGCATAAGAAAGATACGTGCACCACCTCAATATTTGGATAGAAAGAATTTTACAGCCATAAATGAATCTGTCAAGTATTCTGCCCAACCAGTTTTTTTCCCCTTTGCCATCCAATGTTTCGAATGTGCATACACTCGGAAACCGTATCTGTTCCGAACGTACAAACCCGGATTCCTGGGAGCGTTGACCCAGTCACCGTTCAGTAGTAATTTCGTTGGAATGTCTCCATTTTTCGGTAACGATTTTGAAACCATATCATATTTCCGTATAATTTAACGTGCCGGTGCTCGCTGGAAATGACTATTTTACCATCAGTCGCAACACCGTCTTCTGTATATTCCGGTCTCTTTGCAATATTTAATGCGTACCCTTTCATTTTAAATAGAACCGTTAAAATGTTGAAAAACTCGAGGAAAGAAAACGTCTATTAGCGTTGCGTTCCCATAGCAATATCTTATCAAATTTAACAGTTACTGCTCCTAAGAGCGTGCCTTCCTGCAGTTCACAGAGTGCACCAACTTTGCGACAGGATTCCATGATGTATTTAACCAAACTTGCAAGCTCCTCCAAGCAACAAGGTGAAACGGAGAAACTTTTCCAAAGTATACATTTATAATCAATTGGACAATCTGTATTTATTTCCTGTCCCGTCGATAAATTATTTCGTCGCATGTTCCATTTTCTGCCGAACATTTTCCAGGTATCTTTCTGAAGGTTATAAAACATGGTGAATGGTGACAGGGCAGACAAAAGAAGTAGCATGATGTTCCTGTTGAAGTCTCAGAAAGAAATCCTCCATCGACCCAGATGCAATGATGTGTTCGTCGAACCGCACTTTCTTAAAAAGTTCAGTCTGGATGTGAAATGGGCCTTCTATAAAATCACATTGAATGCACGCGTGTTAAGACATATAGTAGCCGTCTTGTACCACGGGGGTATAACTCTTGTACACCACTTGAAAACATATTATTTTCGTTTGATTTATGGAAGTAAAATTTCTTAATCTTATTCTTTTAACCCTGAAAGGCGATTTAAGTTACCCCTACCCATTATTTGTTAATGGAAAAATACTCATTTTTCACCATGTTTTGCAGATTAAACGCTTGATATAAAAAGTTCTGTTATTAAACTTTTTTTAATATTTGATGGATCAAAAGAAAATGTGTTTCTCTTTCTACAACAGCCGCAAAAATAGAGGGTCCGTGTGCTTCTTTTTTTGTCCCATTATTATTTGTGTTATTTTTCACCTTTTTCGGGGTCAAAAATCAAAAGTGCTTCAGTTACACTGAATACGTAAAGAAAACAAACAATAATGTATAATTTTCTATTTTGTTGCATAATATTTTTATCATATTGAACATTATAAAGTTGTACAGCAAAATTGAAAATGCTACAATTAAAAATGGCGACACAATGACAATTTAAGTGATCAATCTAGTGTGAAAAAGGTGAAATTTATGCATTTGTGAACCGCAAGAAATACACATTTATACACATTTTCAAAATGGCCGCCGAATTGGTCATTTTTTTTATATTCTTGTAAAAAAAGTTCTACAAACAACAAGCATCTAGGTTTTTGACATATTTTTCAGATGCGTGTGTGCTATTAAACTTGATCATAATTTGTTTAATATTACAAAAACCCGTTACACCAGATCAAAACGAGACTTGAACGTTATTTAAACCTCAGAAGAGTACATTCTTAAGGTACATATGTCTGTCGTTCTATGTATTGACCTGTTGACTGTGATATATTAACGTGGAAGGGATAATGTAAGTATAAGTATATATTTTTGAATCGACATACTTTATGACCCCTTATTTTACAGATGAGCTTACTTCAAATCAAACAAAAAGCCGATTGATTATTTTTTATTTTTTTTATTTTTTTTTTTCTTCGTTTTCTTCTGGCATGTCTCTTTGTTTATATCTGTCAATGTCAAAGTCTGGTGTCAGGGCCAGAGAAGATATGAGCTAGACTCGTGGACATATTTTTATGCTAAACACGTGGCGGGTAAATTATTGACCTTGCCTATATATATATATACAGGACAGGTTTTAGATTCATTTCACATGACGTAGTAGGAGATAGTGAAATGTACACATCGTCTGTGGCTATATACAATCAACATGAATTTCGGCTCGCTATTCAGCTTTAACACTGTGACATTTGCTTTCGTTGTTGTATTGTTGATCCTGCTGGTCAGTCAGACACTACAATGGCCGGCCAATGTCCCACCCGGACCATCAGGCTATCCTATCATAGGAAGCATGCCTCTACTGCGAAAAGGAAACGTCCTGGAGACATTTCGAAAACTCCGAGCACAATATGGCGACGTTTTCAGTTTGAAGATTGGACCGAATCTCAACGTGGTTATCAATGGAGCGGAGGCGTTAAGAGAGGCGTTTGTTAAAAGAGGGGAGGAATTCTCCGATCGACCAGGCGGCTTTATGACAGAAAATATTTTCCACTTTAAAGGTAAATTGTGAAAAATATAAGTAGATGCAAGTCCTCTGACAGTTTATCAGTACATGGATGAATATAATAGTTGCATTCTTAACTCTAGGACTATATTTAACAGAAAAAAATATCTCACCTCCCGTTTTAAATGAAAATCGTTTTTACCTGTGAGGGTATTGTTGTGGAATATTCTTTACTCTATGACTATATTTATCGGAGTAAAAACCCAACAACAACATACATACAACTAACATTTCATACACAAATATTAGTGAGGTGGGGGTGGGTTACGTGCCGTGCAGTGGCGGATCCAGAGGGTTTTTTTGGGCTTCAGGAACCCCCCACCCCCACCCCCACCCTG